CGTAGCGTTCACACAGGGGTCTGATGCAGGTCACATTTAAAATGTAATGTGAACGTTCACACAAAAAGATCGGATTTTTAAAAAAAATGGGAACTGAGCATTAAGACCTGCAGTGTGAACGTAGCCTCTGTCTCTGTGTTCGTAGGAGAAACAGGAGCAGCTGATGCTGACTGAGATCCTGCCTCCTGGTCCTGAGCATATCAGCGCTGTGAGTGCAGCACTGGACGTCGTCGTCCAGCAGCATGGGATGAACGACCAGGACGTCCAAAAGAGGCAGGAAGTTGTCTCCGTCATGCAAGACCTCCTCCTCTCTGTCCTGCCAGGTAAGAATTCCGCCGATAACAATGTTAAACTTATGTCAAAATCATACTTGCGTGTTTGACTTATTCCTGTTCTGTCTCTCTCCTTTAGAGATAAAACTCAGACTGTATGGATCATCTTCTACTAGATTTGGATTTAAGGATTCTGATGTCAACATAGACATTCAGTATCCACCTCATGTGAGTAGCCAAGTAGACGTTTAGTAGCATAAATACCTCTAAACCAGGGCTATTCAAGTGGTGGCCCGTGAGTGACCAAAGTTTGGCCCGCCAATTGGTTCATTCATCTCTTAAGCCCAAACCCCTGGTTTTCTACTTTAATTACTCTAAGTTCTGTTAGTTAAACATAGACATGTTTGGTATCTACAGAAACGTCAGCATCTTGGCTAGAAGCTGGTAAAAACCAATTCTATAAACACCCAAGACAGTTAAAACTACAAGCAGTTGAAGATAAAATGATGAAAGTGAAGTTTAAAATTTGGCAAGTCAGAGATGTCAAAAAATTTGTGTCAAATAGGAGGCAGAATGTGTTCGTTTTGTTTTTGAAAATGTTTAATTATCACTACTTTTATAGGGTTCTGTGTTGTATTCATGATTAAATGCAGCAAAATAAACTAATTCAAAGGTAAGAGATCTTTGTAATACTTGGTTTATTTACATAATAACTTTCATTGCTGGATGTTCGGCCCGTCAGCTGTTGACCGGCAGTAACTGTGGCCCCCGGAGCAATTTAGTTGAATAGCCCTGCTCTAAACTATAAGGTTAATTTGCTTATTGTAAAAACTGCAAAACATTATAGTAAGCAGTTTTTTTCCTCAGATGGGCAGGATAGTAATGTTCAAGTCTTATGTGAAGTGATGCATGTTTTATATGTTAAAATTCTGGAAGATTTATTTATGGCTGATGTGCTTTTTAAATTGCATCGATGGCGTTCAAAGCTTTTGAATTTGTTCACAGATGCATCAGCCAGATGTCCTGTTGTTGGTGAAGGACTGCCTCTCTCTGAGCTGTGAGTCATGTGTTCTTTATAAACTTTGCCTTAAGCAAACCAGTCATGTGCTGAGCTGTCATAAAATGTGTATTTTATTGTTCCCAGCCCTATTTGTGGACGTGGAAGCTGATTTCCATGCCAGGGTGCCGGTGGTCATCTGTAAAGACAAAGACAGGTTGGGAACAGTTTATGGCTTACGTATAACGCTAATAAAATACCGTGTGCTCAAACGTAGTGAACTTTTAGTGAAAACAAGACTTCTCATTTATCTCCACAGTGGCCTGATTTGCAAAATGAGTGCAGGCAATGAAAGCGCCTTTCAGACCACCTCCTACCTGGCTGATCTTGCCAGTAGAGAGCGTCTCCTCCACCCTCTGGTCGTGGGATTCAGACATTGGGCTCGGGTATATTAACAGTTTGACCGTGTTAGCCAGGAAGCTTGTTAAAAATAATTTATACGCCTAAATAATTTTGACAAAACCCACATTTATTTGTCTACATCTTTTACGTAGATCTGTGAGATCGACCGTCCAGAAGAAGGAGGGCTGCCTCCATATGTCTTCGCCCTCATGGTTATCTACTTCTTACAGAAGCGCAGAGAGCCTCTTTTACCTACCTACCTAAACCAGAAGGTTTGCTTCATTTAATGTGTGAAATAAGAAAAAATAATTTAAGCTCTCACTAGTTTCTCTTGGTAGAAACTAACCAAGGTGTCCGATTGTGTTTTTAGATGAAGGTGTTTTCACTCAGCAAGCTATCAGACTTCAATCTCACACATACCGAGGAGGGATATTTACACTGGTCCTACACCCCTTCCTCCAAGGAGTCCTCACAGCCAGCAGAGGGCGCCTGTATAAAGGGAAAGGTAATCCTAAAGATTGTGTCTGGTTCAGATAAATAAGCAACTCAGAGTTCTGACAGTTCTTAAAAAAGTGTGGATTCCTGGATTTTCCAGCTTCCAGTTCTGGATATTTATATGAACAGTTACCCCTAATTTACACAAGGTGTGGTTCCGTTCCTTTATAGGCAACCGTTATAATCAATGAGAGTATCCACACTGGCTCTGCAGGGTGGTGGTGAGCGGACTGCGAACTGGCAAAATTAGATTCAATGTTATTTTTGTTGTATGCCAGAGCAAGCACAACATCTGTATTTTCAAAATAATTTGCCAAAGGCAAACTAATTTAGGGCCCTATAAAATATGTTTTATTTTTTCCTAAATTCCGTTTTTTTCTGTTTTTATTTTTTTTATTCCACTTTTTCCATTTTTTTCCCTGAATTCCACATTTTCATTGTAACCATATTTATTAACCTAAAAAGTGTGTAATTGAACAATAATTAAACAAATAAATAGCTACAGAAATAAAAAAAACAGTCATTTCACTTTCACTAATATAACAAGTAGCTGTGGTTTAATAGAACATTAAAGGTGTTTAAAATTATTTACTAAGAAAAAAACGTGTAAAACATATAGTCTCACATAATAAAGTTATCTTTTGTAAAATAAAAACATTTTAGAGTTTAACTTAATATTAAATATGTCAAAGAAACAAAACCTACATTTGCCATCTAAGCTCATTTACTTCTGTAATGGAGACACACACACCGTTTAGTGCTTTATCAAAAAACGGGCAAAGCTTTTTCAAATTTTCTAACGGAATGTCTGATTCTGCACACAAAACAACAACAAAATCATGGATAAACTCCCAGTYGGACTCCCAACTCACATCTGAGTGTTGAGGAGTTTTCACCGTGTCTCTCTCCTGCTCCTCTGTCTGTGACTCAAGCTGGAAACAAACTCCCTGCGAACTGCCGACGTCGGCACGGATTGTTGCACGTTGACGAAAATTACGTCACCGGGCTTCGCAACGTCGTGTCGACAGCCCCTTTTGGCACAAGCCCCCGGCAGAACTTTTTGACCCCCCTCCCGTGTCGACGGTCATGTGTGATTGGTCTGAACTGAAAGCGCTCGGACGGACACAGCAGAAGAAAAAAACAAAAACTCGCTTCTGACTAGAGCAGACTGTTTTGAGCGGTTTTAAAGATAGACAAACCGAGAAAAACTCATGCGTGTTTGTGCTGACAGCGCTATGCGCTGCATTTACTTCAACCACTCGGTTTAAAAAAAGGAAAAAAAAAACCGACTCGCTCCCCGAGTCAACCATGAAGCAGGGTTTTATAAAGATAGTCAAACTGTGAAAAACTCACAAATGGAGATAAACAGATGTAACAGATAAACAGGCACAGAGGACTCTGAAGCTGTGGAGCTTTTTAACCAGGACAGATGTGGATAAAAATCTGTCAGGTGAGTGACTTTTTTCTGCATTGCTGTTGAGGGGAGAAATTCCATACAGTGACGTATGTTTCAGCGGGAGGGAGGGGTTCCCCCGAGCTTGGGGCAGTGTGCAGGAACTATGAAAGGTCTGTGCGAAAATGACTGCCGAACAACCATGTGACTGCGCGTCGACCCGTCGGCGTCGGAGAGAGTATGTTTCCACCTTCAGAGAGGAAGCAGTCTGGAGCTTCTTCCCAGCGTCCAATCCATCGTGTGCCAAAAAAACTTGCAGAAAAGTTCTACAGATAAATAAATTACTGCTGGGACATTGTTCTGTCCTAAACTTTATCCTAGCTTCATATTTTTGGAGGACGTTATTTTTTAGCAAGTTTGTTGTTCGCTGTGCAGGTTGCGGCTTTGTTTTTGTTTTTTTTCTTCGTCTGTGTCAGGAGGGGCGCTCAGTCCGAGCTCACCTCACGTGCCTGTTACCAGATAACGGCAGGTACAGGAAGCGGCAGTGGCCAAAATACCTCAGAAACTCGCTCAAATAAGCAAATTCCATGAGATTCCCTGTTTTATACTGAATTCCATTTTGATTGGTAGATTCCGCAATTTTGTCCGTATTTTCCGCATCGCGGAAATTACTGTGTAGGGCCCTACTAATTTTGTTGAAATTCCAGCTATAATTATAAATACATGGATATATTTATACACAAATGCTGTAAAAATGTATCGTTCTGTTTGGGAAGCAGATGTATACAGACATGATACACGTGGATTTTATTTTGAAATCAGACATTTCAAAAAAGACGACAGCGATGCACTTTCAGCTGTGTTTGGAGTTTGTCTTCCACAGAATTAATTATTTTGCTCTGACTTCCACATTTATCATTAGATTTATCGCTCAATATTGCATTTCCTGCACACGCTTCTCAGACTTCCTCTGGGCTTCGCATCGGAGCAGAAGCTGTATAAACTGGGGTGCAAAGGAACGGTGGCAAACTGTGCATCGCATCAGAGTGGAACCACGTCTAGTGTAAATTAGGGGTAAAAGAGCATATGATGAAATGTTAGTTTTTAGACAGATATGCATTTTCTAAAAGATAAAATCTAGACTAAAAAAAACATAAATGTGTTTTACCACATTTATTGTAAATAAAATGTGGCCAGTATATATCATAGCCAGCCTAGGCAAAGTCTGGAAAAGCAAGGAATTTCCAAAATGTGGAAAATCCTGCAGTTCTGATTTTTTTTTTACTTATCTATTGTTTTTCAGGTCCCTCTGGTGTTCCCAAATCCTCATCCAGATGTAGAAGTCGGGTTCCTCTGGATTGAAATGCTTCGTTTTTACTTCCTGGCATTCATCATAGCAGACAACGTCATCAGTGTGCGGACCGGCGCCRTCCTCTCTCGAGAGATGAAAGACTGGCCAAAGAAACGAATCGCCGTTGAGGGTCAGAAATAAATTTTCTTTGCATTTGTAAAACAGATTTATTTTACAGTTAGTTTAGAATTTTTGAAGTCTTCCTTAATTTATTTAAAGTCTGTTAGCTTTTTTTTTTAAATTAGCATATTGTTTTTCAGTGTTTTTCATTAAAGGTTATTACTCATCCGTGGCGAAACTTTAAGAACTGTTGCTGTTTTCAGACCCGTTTGCTGTGAAGAGAAACGTGGCCCGCACGGTRAACAGCCAGCAGATGTACGACTACATCGTCCACTGCCTTAAAAGCACATATAAGTACTTTGCACTTCCACTCAGCGCCAACGCTGTTAACCACAAGAGAGAGGSCAAGCAGGGCCACGACCAAGGAGGCAACCCCAAAGTCGTTCCATGTTTGTCGGGCTTCAGTCAGCACTCCCTCCAGTCATGGCAAACAAGTCCCGGTCACACCGCAGAGAATGATCCTGAGGACTCTGACTGCATCATTGAGGAAGAGGAGGAAGTCGAGGGATGCAGCGACTCGGACGAAGACAAGGAGAAGGAAAAAGTGGACCCGGGCAAAGGCAGTCTCTCCGAGGATGAGGATGAAGACGAGCAGGATGAGGATGTGGACACTGATAATAACGCACACGACAGACAGCACCTGGACAGCTTTACCACAGAGGAGGAGGAAATTTTCCAAGTCGATGAGATTTCAGGGGAGGACCTCCTGTCTGACGAGGAAGCTCCAGATTTGGACACGCCTGGTTCGTTAGATGAGGATGAGGAGGARGAAGAAGAGGTGGACCTGGCACCTGACAGGCTTTCACCCAAACCTTCAGAAGATCAAACTGAAGGTGAAAGTGTGGAARAGAAAACCCCAAACCAAACCCAACAGTCTTATGAGTTCACCAGACAGGCCTTCACAAGAGGAAAGGTAGGTTTAATCTTGTGTATTAGTGTTTGTAACAAACATGTCGTGGAAGTTATTTTGGGCTCAAMCTGAATTTGGATTCATGTTTTTTAGTCACACATGGTCGTGTGCAGCTTATGCAAGCGTGACGGACATCTGAAGAAAGACTGTCCTGAAGATTTTAAGAAGGTGGAGCTGGAGCCGCTGCCACCGATGACACCAGATTTTCTCAGGATTCTTAACAAAGTCTGTGAGCAATGCTACAGTGAGTAGTGTGTGGTTTGGCTCACTAATTAAAATAATTCATATCACCTATCTAACACTGTTTTAAGCTTTATTATAAATTTATATGTTTACAGCGTGGCTTGATCACAAATAAAGTTAATGTTTTACTATCCCTGTTTTAGATGACTTTGCCCCAGATAACCTGGAAGTGGGAGTCAGGGAACACATCCTTAAAGATCTGGAGAACTTTGTCAAACGGCAGTTTCCTGGTAACTCTTTTTATTTATTTTTTCGTTATTTGATTGGGTTTTAATTTCTTAAAGTGTAACTGCATTACCTTCCAAAACTGTTCATTGACAGAACTTTTTTTTTTTTAAATCTACTCTCACACAGCGGCTCGGCTGAAACTATTTGGCTCGTCGAAAAATGGCTTCGGCTTCAGACAGAGCGACCTGGACATCTGCATGATCTTGGAGGGACAGGAAACTTTAAGTGCAAGTTATTTGTTAATTACTTTATGATTATTAATATTAGCTCAAGCTCCTGCTAGTGAGTAGCCTTGTATATGGTAATGAATTATTTTATCAAAAATGCATATTCATTATATTATTTGATCTGATGTCCATCTGTCCGTCCGTTTTCTGCTGCTTATCCGGGATTGGGTCGCGGAGGCAGCAGCCTAAGCAGAGAGACCCAGACTTCCCTCTCCCCAGCCACTTGGGCCAGCTCGTCTGAGGGAATCCCAAGGCATTCCCAGGCCARCCGAGAAACATAGTCCCTCCAGCGTGTCCTGGGTCTTCCTCTGGGCCTCCTCCCAGTGGGACATGCCCGGAACACCTCACCAGGGAGGCATCCAGGARGCATCCTAACCAGATACCCGAGCCACCTCAACTGACTCCTCTCGACGTGGAGGAGCAGTGGCTCTACTCTGAGTCCCTCCCGGATGACCGAGCTTCTCACCCTATCTCTAAGGGAGAGCCCAGACACCCTGCAAAGGGAACTCATTTCAGCYGCTTGTATCCGTGATCTTGTTCTTTCGGTCACTACCCAAAGTTCGTGACCATAGATGAGGGTAGGAACGTAGACTGACCAGTATACCGAAAGCTTTGCCTTCTGGCTCAGCTCCCGCCTCACCACGACAGTCTAGTACAGCGCCCGCATCACTGCAGATGCAGCACCAATCTGCCTGTCGATCTCCCACTCCATTCTTCCCTCAYTCATGAACAAGACCCCGAAATACTTAAACTCCTCCACTTGGGGCAGGACCTCCTCCCCGACCTGGAGGCRGGACCCTACCGGTTTCYGGCTCAAGACCATGGTCTTGGATTTGGAGGCACTGATCCTCATCCCAGCTGCTTCACACTCGGCTGTGAACTGCTCCAGTGAGAGCTGGAAATCACGATCTGATGAAGCCAATAGGACCACATCATCCGCAAAAAGCAAAGATGCGATCCTAAGGTCACCAAAAAGGATCCCCTCAACACCTTGGCTGTGCCTAGAAATTTTGTCCATAAAAGTTATGAACAGGATCGGTGACAAAGGTCAACCTTGGCGGAGTCCAACTCTCACTGGAAATGAGTCCGACTTACTACCGGGAATGTGGACCAAGCTCTGGCACCGGTCATACAGGGACTTAACAGCCCGTATCAATGGGCCTGGTACCCCATACTCCCGGAGTATCCCCCACAGGAGYCCCTGAGGGACACGGTCGAACGCCTTCTCCAAGTCCACAAAACACATGTAGACTGGTTGGACGAACTCCCATGCACCCTCCAGGACCCTGCTGAGGGTGTAGAGCTGGTCCACAACCAGGACGAAAACCACACTGCTCTTCCTGAATCCGAGATTCAACTATCTGACGGACCCTCCTCTCCAGAATCCCTGAATAGACCTTACCAGGGAGGCTCAGAAGTGTGATCCCCSTATAGTTGGAACACACTCTGTGGTCTCCCTTTTTAAATAGGGGGGCCACCACCCCGGTCTGTCAATCCAGGGGAACTGCCCCCGATGTCCACGCGATATTGTAGAGTTGTGTCAACCAACGCAACCCCACAACATCCAGAGCCTTAAGGAACTCCRGGCGAATCTCATCCATCCCCGGCACCTTGCCACCGAGGAGCTTTTTAACCACCTCRGCGACCCCGGCACCGGAGATTGGAGAGTCTGACCCAGGGGACCCAGGCTCTGCTTCCTAATGGGAAGACGTTTCGGTAGGATTGAGGAGGTCTTTGAAGTATTCCTCCCACCGACCCACATCGTCACAAGTTGAGATCAGCAGCGCACCATCCCCACCATAAACACTGTTGGTGGTGAACCGCTCCCCCCCCCCCAGAAACGCTGGATGGTGGCCCAGAATCGCTTCAAAGCTATACAGAAGTCTTTTTCCTTGGCCTCTCCGAACTCCTCCCACGCCCGGGTTTTTGCCTCAGCGACCACCCGAGCCGCAATCCGCTTGGACTGCAGATACCTATCGGCTGCWTCYGRAGTCCCACAGGCCAAAAAGACCCGATAGGACTCCTTCTTCAGCCTGACAGCATCCCTCACCRCTAGTGTCCACCAGCGGGTTCGAGGGTTGCCGCCCCKACAGGCACCTATAACCTTAAGGCCACAGCTCAGGTAAGCCGCCTCGACAATGGAGGTATGGAACATGGCCCATTCGGACTCAATGTCCCCCACCTCCCTCGTAACGTGTTCGAAGTTCCCCCGGAGGTGTGAGTTGAAGCTTTGTCTGAGGGGAGACTCTAACAGACGTTCCCAGCAGACCCTCACTACACGTTTGGGCCTGCCAGGTCTGACCGGCTTCCTCCCCCACCACCGGAGCCAACTCACCACCAGGTAGTGGTCAGTTGACAGCTCCGCCCCTCTCTTCACTCGAGTGTCCAAAACATGCGGTCGCAGATTACATGAAACAATAACAAAGTCGATCATCGAACTGTGGCCTAGGGTGTCCTGGTGCCAAGWGCACATATGGACACCCTTATGCCTGAACATGGTGTTCGTTATGGACAATCCGTGACGAGCGCAGAAGTCCAATAACAAAACACCGCTCGGGTTCAGGTCAGSGGGGCCGCTCCTCCCAACCACGCCTCTMCAGGTCTCACTGTCATTACCCACRTGAGCGTTGAAGTCCCCCAGCAGAACGAGGGAGTCCCCGTTAGGAGCGCTCTCCAGCACCACCTCCAAGGACTCCAGAAAGGGTGGGTAATCTGAACTGCTGTTAGGCGCATAGGCACAAACAACAATCAGGACCCGTCCCCCCACCCGTAGGCGGAGGGAGGCTACCCTCTTGTTCATCGGGGTGAACCCCAACATACAAGAACCGAGATGGGGGACAATAAGTATGCCCACTCCTGCTCGGCGCCTCTCAACATGGGTAACTCCAGAGTGGAAGTGTTCAACCCCTCTCAAGGAGACTGGTTCCAGAGCCAGAGCAGTGGGTCGAGGTGAGTCTGACTATATCTAGTCGAAACCTCTCAACCTCACACACCAGCTCAGGCTCCTTCCCCATCAGAGAAGTGACATTCTACGTCCCTAGAGCCTGCTTCTGTAGCCGAGRATCGGACCGCCAAGGTCCCCGCCTTCRACCACTGCCCAGCACACATTGCACCTGACCCCTACGGCCCCTCCCACAGGTGGTGAGCCCAAGGGAAGATGGACCCACGTCTCCTCTTCGGGCTGTGCCCGACCAGGCTCCATGGGTGAAAGCCCGGCCACCAGGTGCTCGCCAGCATGCCCCACCTCCAGGCCTGGCTCCAGAGTGGGGCCCTGGTGACCCGCGTCCGGGCGAGGGAACACTCAATCCATTTATTGTGTTCATCATAGGGGTCTTTGGGCTGCACTTTGCCTGATCCCTCACCTAGGACCTGTTTGCCTTGGGTGGCCCTACTGGGGGGCATAAAGCCCCTGACAACATAGCTCCTAGGATCATTGGGACACTCAAACCTCTCCACCATGATAAGGTGGCAGCCCAAGGAGAGGATTTGATCAGATGATAAAGTGAAATACAACACTTTGCAACCATTCTGTATAATATTTTAGGAAGAGTTTTTAGCTAGATTTTAAATCTTGTTTTGTTTGTTTTCTGATAGGATTATGAATGCATCACTATCATTAAAAGCCTGGCAAGGATGCTAAAAAAACATTCAGGTGCGTTGTAGACCCGATCACTTAGATCAACATAGATCTACTTCAAATGAAACTTATAAYGTTGAAGTTATTATTAAATGAAATCATCAGTGATTCTTTCGCTAGCTTCTATCCAAACAACRATGTTTTTTCTCTTCTTGTCCAGGTCTGAAGAACATCCTGCCCATTACTACAGCTAAAGTCCCCATCGTTAAGTTTTACCACAATCTGACCGGCTTGGAGGGAGACATCAGCCTCTACAATACACTGGTAGGTCTCCGCCTCTTGTGTTTTGAGTTTTCTCTTATGTTAGAAAGTAACCCATTTTCTCTCCAGGCTCTGCACAACACTAACCTGCTCGCCTCATATGCTGCCATCGACCAAAGAGTGAAGATTCTCTGTTACGTTATGAAGGTTTTTGCGAAGGTGAGCTTCCGTTTTTGGACGTAAAGCTTTGGGATCTTTTTGTGTCGACACAGTCAGATGTGTTGTACACTGTTAACGTATTTCTCTTCCCGTCCCGTCATAGATGTGCGACATCGGGGATGCATCTCGTGGCAGCCTCTCATCCTACGCTTACACACTCATGGTGCTGTTCTTCCTTCAGCAGAGGARCCCGCCAGTCATACCTGTGCTGCAAGAGGTACAGAAACCATATTTGTATGCAGCTCTTTTTTTACACAGTCACTTGATTTGACTGGTTTTCTACAGATTTATGCTGGAGAGAAGAAGCCTCAAGTACTGGTTGATGGCTGGAACGTGTACTTCTTTGGTGATTTAAAAGCACTAGTAAGTACTGTATGGTTTTATGTGTTTTGTCATAAAATAAAACATTATTTTGATGTGTTACCACCATTCTTTGTTCACCTGCAGCCCAGCCACTGGCCCCAGTATGGAACGAACACTGAGGCGGTGGGGGAGCTGTGGCTCGGCCTTCTCCGCTTCTACACTGAAGACTTCGACTTCAAAGAACACGTCGTGTGCATCCGACAGCACGCCCGCCTCACCACCTTCAACAAACAGTGGACCTCCAAATACATCGTCATCGAAGGTCAGCTGATCMTACACTCAAAGCACAAGAAAATTAGATTTAATCCACTCACCTGTGCAACACTCTGATTACTTTTTAAATCAATGTTTAACTGTCACATTACAGATCCGTTCGACCTGAATCATAATTTGGGTGCTGGTCTGTCCAGAAAAAGTATGCTAATCTTTTTTTTTTTGTACTTCATTGTTAACATTTATGTCTTTACAAAAATTTTTTTTTCATATGACTCTTTTTAATCCTTAAAACAGTGACTAACTTCATCATGAAAGCTTTCATCAACGGAAGAAGAGTCTTTGGCACAGCCATGAAGGCTTTCCCTGCCGTGTATACCAGTGAAATGGTCAGTACTTAAAACCAAGGCCATAACATTAAGTCTACCATTAGGGGGGTTGTGTTCTCTGCCTGTTTATTTATACTTATTGAATTATTTACTTTTGTGAAATGATTTTGAATATTTTGCGGTTAAAATACATTGTGCTTTTACTCTGACCCTCTTTTCTTTGTTTGTACTCTGCACCTTTTCATGTCAGTTCAACATTCAAGAAAATTCTTACTTTTTTCAACTAATTTTTTTCTAGCAGTAACAATTTTTTACATTTTTAGGATGAACTATATGACATACCCAAATTTCACAAATTTCTAAGTGTATGCATTTATAAGGGGTGCATCGATACAGAAAATTCACGATTCGGTTCTGTTTAATACTTTAGTCTAACGGTTCAAAATTGTTTCAATACAAAACAGGGAAATTTCCTTGCCCTTCTTAACTTGCAATTTAAAAAAATCTGTATTCTAAACAAGTGTGTATTGAACCTAAACCACTTTATTGAACGATTYGATACAGAYGCATGTGTTGTTGCACCCCTAGTATTTATCTGGTGCACTATAATTTAGCTAGKAAAAATTACAACTCATGATTCAACAAATACAGCCATAATRTGATGARCAGACTAAAACCCTGCATGCCATTTTCAGCATTTATGCTTAAACTACATATATAACATCGTAAATTTTGACATCAGGTCAAAGTTACCTAAAAACAACAAACAGCTGTGTATTTACCCAGTTACTTTCTATTGTGTTAGAGCCAATGATGTCATTTTACTGGGCGGGGGTTATATTGACTGGATCACATTATTGTGAGGGGTCATAACCCCCCAGCAAATTACGCCCATGCATAAAACATGGGCTGTATATATATATATATTTTTTTTTTTTCACATTCAGCATATCGACACCTCTGATTTGTTTTGTTCAGGAGTACTTTTTCGATCCTGAAATTCTCACAGAAGGAGAAGTGGCTCCCAACGATCGCTGCTGCCGCATCTGTGGCAAGATCGGCCACTTCATGAAGGACTGCCCTATGCGTAGGAAGTGGGTACAATCGCAGCACATGTGTCGGAACTGATCWATGCTTCTTTATAAGTGGTTCTGATTTTAACTGTTTTTTTGTTTGTTTGTTTTTTGTCTTAGGCCCAAGCACAGAAGGGACTCGGACAATATGCTAGAGCAATCGCAGGACAAAATGGACTCGTYGGAGGAGGCGAAGGATCAGGTCAGGCATAGGAATGAACACTGGAAAAAAAGAGATGCACTGGAGATTCGCTGCTGCTTCCTGTGTGGCTCAAGTTCCCACATCAAGAAGGACTGCCAACTTTATAGAGGCCCTGCAGGTTCACATAAAGTTTATTTCTTTTTCACTTTGCCAACTATCTAAAACATATTGGTTAACAGTGATATTTGTGTTTTTATACTTACTCAAGATGATGCTATTTGATTTTTTTAATCATAATCTTGATTTTCCTTCTCTTCTTCAGCCTACATAAAGAATATGAGAGAAAAGGAAAAACAGGTGTGTTTTTTCAGACTGATAAAATTTCATGTAAAATGAGCTTTTAGTATTTTTGTTGGAATGCTCTTTATTCTTTTTCTTCCAGGGCTTATCCATGCAAGACGAGAAGACTAGGAAAAGGCAACAAACTGTAATCCTGGGTCCGCAAGCAGGTGAGAAGACGTTTCTGTATCTAGTTTCACCATCTTTCTGTGGACCCTGATTTGTCTTTTAAAGAAGTCTTCTTTATGTTGAACTGACCACATTGTTGGGGGTAAATATTTGCACAAATGTCAATATTTYCTTTCTCATGTCTCTTAGGTAGTTTAGCCTGTCGAAACATGAACYGGACTGGTCACAAGAAGAACCCAGTGGAATGAGAAGCTCCAGACCACAAAATAATTCTACTGTTGTCCACGCAGACTGCATCCCAAAGCCCAACAACAACAACAACAAAATAAAAATAAAAACTTAAATCTGAGTAGTACTGTTAGGCCAGATGGAGCCCRTTAAAGCCAAAGCCTGGACACCGTGACTTGAAGCCAAATAGGGCCTTTTATGTGTGTCTGTCCTCACTCCCACCCTGCAGTCCTCTTCACCTTTTATTTTACAAAGACAAGCCATTATTCATACGTCCAAGGTCTTAGTTTACACACTCTGCAAGTCAGTTTATTGTTTTTTTATTCATTACTTTGCAGTCCAATTCGGAAATTTCTTAAAATGACTAAATTTAGGACAAAAAAACCTAAGTGTCAGAGGATAGATAGCTTGAATCATAATAGTTAGGTATGTTTTTAAGATTGTCTTCTACGTTTATTTTAAATATGTTGCAAACACTTTGACATAATTGGAGTAGAAGAAAATAAACGGCGAGGGAAAGGTAGGTTCTTCTATTTTCATGAAGCCCTTTAAACATCAAATTATCACTCAGTTCTTATTTTTTCCTTCCAAAAGATCATTGTGGTAAGTGGATTTACCAAAAAAYATATAATGAAGGTTTTGATGGTAGTTGCCTTTTGTTGTGGCTACGATCTGTTTTAGTGCGCTTATATTTTAAATGTCTGATTTCTCCACAGCACTGGTGTCTGAGTCAGTCTCCACTTCATCCTTGAARTTGGTGCTGTTTAGCGGAGAAAACACCATGTTTTTTCCCCTTATTTTTKAAATTAAAGATCAAAAATTTACTTTGAGGCATGTCCAATCGCTGTTTGATTCTCACCCAGCTGTTTCAGTTTTACTTTTTAAATTKTTTTTTCTTTGAAAATCTGTCTACTGGTCTAGCTGCTGGCATACAATGCTGCAAAGCATTTCTAAACTTGTAAATCTTGTAATTTTATTGTAATGATGACAGAGTTTGGTAGCTGCACTGTAAGGGTCCACACCTTAAATTATGTTGCTGCTTGTTGAGTCTCAGATACCCCTGTTTTTATTTCACTTTTAAGATCAGACCCACTGCCTCTGTTGTTTTGCTGGTATTACAAAATTTTTTATATATRAAAAAATCCCCACAAAAAACACCTGTTCGTAGTATTGTGATTATGTTTCTTTAAAAGTGGCTTTAATTTCTGGCCTTATTTGTTTAGATGGACTTGTGAAAGCTTTCATATATTAGGAAACCCATGATCATGCCAAAAAAAAAAAAAAAAAAAAAAAGCTGACTCGCAATCCATTTTGTCTCAAAAAATAAACTAAAGTTTAATTCCCAAGATGACGTACGTGTGTCTTTTATAAAAACATGTCTGTGCAAAACCTTACCACATGATTTCTGGAACATTTTTTCTTTGAAAAGATGTGTCCAAATAGAGAAAAAAAACTAAACATATCGGCACATCAAACCCCTGAACTGTCATGCACGGAGGTGGAGGATTGTTGATTAGGAACCATACCTTGCTGCTGTGAGATCAAGTATTAAAATATTTGAAATTAAATGGATGAATCCAGATTGTGCAACAAGAAKGATTGTAAAGACCCCAGTGAATGTTAAGTGTCTGTAACTAAAAATATACTAAAAACAAGCACTTCGTGTTCATTCTTCTACACAAGCTACTGAATCAGTGCAGTTAGGGGGGCTTTTTGCCCACTAGAAGGATCTTATCTTCAAACATAAGGCTGGGGCTTTTTTAAAATATATTATTTCACTTTATAAATATGTTATTTTTAGAAATGTCAAAAGTCTGAAATGTAAATAAAAAAACCGAGTGATTGCACGTGTTTTTTCTTTGTGTACAGTGTTTTGACTGTTTTGGACAGGGAGGAGGTGGGGCTCAAAAATAAAAATATGAGGACACCAAGTTCCAGTAAACAGTGTGTTCCGTTCGACATCAAAACAGTCGACGGTTTAAATTTAGCAAGATCATGTAGAGTAAATAAAAATAGATTATTACTTACCTACAAACTATTTAAGAAGTTGACATACGTTATACGTATATACGACATTATTTAGTTTACAAAAATGTTACATAACAAAAGATCATCCTTCAAGATGTGAGTGCGTTACATCATTAGCTGTTGCGCCCGTCAGTCAAGCTATTAACCAATCACCGGTCAGTATACGTGTTTTGGGCGTTCCACAGGTCGTTCGCACGCTTGCGCTCTTCAATGTTATGGGTTAGTTATCAACATGTCTGCCTCCTTGGTGCGAGCGACTGTCCGAGCAGTGAATAAAAGGAAAATATTACCCACTAGAGCCGCTCTCACGTTGGTAAGTTTAGAGATTCAGTTAATATTTCAAACAAAGCACATTGTTGTGTTTGTTCGCGTATTGTTCGAGAGCGTGGTGTAATCTCAGGGAGCCATTTTGTGATGGCAGAGTTAGCTAACCCGAGTTTCGAGTAGCTTGTCTCTCAACATTTCGCTGCCCTTGTAGCCACATTACTTTTTCATGTTGTGTTTTTTTAAGACACAATCTTAGCAGTGACATATTGTGTTTGTGTTTTGCAGCCTAACGATTAGATTTAGCCAAGTAACCAATGTAGACAGTCGATGTTGCTAGCTAAGATGGCAATTTTAGATAAAACGTCATCAAAATACCAGAAATGTCAAAACAAAAGTTATAATTTGCAGGATAGGGACTAAGATTTATATTTACGAGTTAAAGAAATGCTCTTAAAATACGTTGGTAAAGTAAWCTCAGTTTAGCAAACTGAAGAATAAATGTGTATCCTTTTTCTTGACTAGTTAGTATTTGCAGGGAGTCAGGGGTACAGAGTAAACTGCCAAAAGTATTTGAGGACGTGCTCCTCCACATGTAAACAAACCTGTCAAAGAAAACCCTGAAGGGTTCAGTCTTGCACTTGTCAAAAACACCGAATGCCTCATTACACAAACTTTGCAAACTTAAAATTTAAAAGTTAGTGCATCTTAGGAAAGTGGTTTTATTGGACACCTTTCCTTGCAGTCGTTATTTATAGCAAATTTTAAAAATTGAAACTAAAATCTGTAAATAAGTGTAGGAATGTTATCAYTCCAGTTAATCAATGAAATGCTTTAGCCTGCATTCTTGCATCTTCTATGGTTCATTAGTGGAAACAGTTTCACTTARAATATTAAACGTCTTAATTTTAGTCAGTCTGAAATGCATTGACAATGTTTTAACATTATTCAGTTGAATGGTAAAGCCAAACARTGTGACGATGTAATCACTGAGAAACGTGGTCATGGTTTGTTTGATAATGGCTGCTGCAGAGATAATGAGTTTGTGCTGTGGCCCGAGTTGATAAAGGTTGTCACCTGAAGGAACTGAAACGTGACGGACTGCAGTCGACGTTTGAAAGGACGGCTCCTCGTGGATTTCCTAAAGCTGTCAGTGACCGCTGAGGTCTCATTTGGAATGACGTGTTCATCTGCACACAGCAGCAAATACTAATGATCGTTCTGCAGACTTGAAGGGATTAGTACCTTCCAGCCGACTCCACACAGAGCTCAAACTCGTAATTCTTCTTTTTTGGCACTGAAGTACATTCAGTTCCAGCAGAGGCTATTGTAGCTCAGGATTTTTTGTTACACTACAGGTRCAGACCTCAGTTTCAGACAAGTTATTATATGTCTGTGTAATAGTTGGGTGAAAGGTATCAAAACAGCTAAAGAAACTTATACCAGCAAAAAAAAAAAAATCTTTGTTTTTACTTTTGCTCTTTTTCTTTTTTTCAGATTGTTACATACAGTCACAGGATTTCCAGGGAAATTGAATGCTCTTTTATTAATGCAGCATATACTTTGTGGAAAATTGTGGATTATAACTTTTTGCGTTCTTTTGTTTTTCTTTAGACTCCTTCCGCTGTGAACAAAATCAGGGTTTTGTTGCAGGAAAAACCAGAATATGTGAGTAATTGATGTGACTCACTGAAACTGTGCAGTTTTGTGCTGATTCATGTGTCTTTTTAAGTCCCAAATTGTTCACAACTTAAAAAAAATTAGACATTTTGTGTTTATATATGTCAAAAAGAAAATTGTATAGGTCTTCTGGACGGGTTCTTCTCTAATGAAACGTTTCGTCTCTCCTCCAAGAGACTTCTTC